TTTTCGGAGTCCTACAGGCATTGGGTCTTTAGTGCGTAGGGGTTTTTAGGGCTTAGAGGTTTGGAGGGTGCAAGTCCCCATCCTGAACCTAGTACAACTACCCGGAAACCTTGTTCTACTTTCTGAGGTTCCTATGTAGAGATTCCTAGAACTAATGGGGAATCCTTGACAAATAAGGACCCTAAGAAGGTACCGGAATGGGGGCCACGCAAGTTTCACCCTGGAGCGGCAGCCTCAGTAAATGGTTCTTTCGGGCGGGTTGTACAGTACACTTCACATTTCTTGGGGTTCATACATGCCTTTTGTACCAAGAAGTATGCCTTGATTAGGGGGCTCGGCGATCTGAGCAATTAGGTAATTCTCTACGTGAAGCGTTGGGTTTGGAGTTTAGGCTGTGAAGTTCATTGGCTTGACGTTTCGGGTTTAGGGTTTCAGGGGCTACAGACCCACCCTAAACCCAAAGACTGAATCCCGGTAGGACGACTCTTAACATCTAGAAAACTCGCCCGAAGTATCATTCATAAAACCTGAACTTTCAAGGGAGGGTCGAACCCCATGCCTTGCAAGGTGGACGTCGCCGAGGATGTGAGTGAGGAGGACAAACTTTTTGCGTTCGAAGCTTTCTCGGCATATTGATCTCGACCGCACGAGCCTTTCTTTTTGTGAAGGCTGCGATATGAGCCGGGCCAAGTTTGAGCGTCACAGAAAACACAAGCATCAGAAGTTGGTCGCTGCCACTCCTTAAACTCCTTAAACCCCTGACCACAGCTTGCAAACCCCTCCAGCCCATTCCCTAACCCGCAAGCCGCAAGCCCGTTGTCATCAGGCCATGGCCCCGGAGATCATTCGTCGTGTAAACCGCGTCTGTAAGGAGCCGATGAGGTTCAGGGGTTGGAGTGTTGGCGCGCGCCGATGTCAGGGTAGGGTAGAGGAATAGCTTCGGCATTGGTAGCATCGCAGGGTCCGGTGTGGTAGCAAGCACGCTGCTCCATGTTTGCCCCTGGCCTCTGATGAAATGGAATACGGTGCCGTTTCATTTGCCCTGACATTCCTGTGGATGAGATTGCGACAACGACCGGATGTCGGAGATGCAAAAAGCCCGCAAATTATGCGATTTGACTTTAGGAATCCGGTTTCGAAAGCGTGCACATCAGCTTGTGTTGGCCATTTTGAGACAAGTCGGGATGCAGCGTGTACTATTCCACAGCCCGTTCACCTGCATATTTGTGCTGCCAAGCTTATCTCCGATGGATCCACTGAAACCACCTTCTGCACGAACTTAACCCCAAGGCATGCAAGGCATGCATGCAGCTTGTGCCAGAGGAGACCACCGCATCGTGGCTCGGGAGTCTCGTTCTCTATCCCCTTCCTGGAATCTTATGCGAAAGCACCTGAGCCGCAAGCAGAGCGCCACGCCTCCTTGTAGCCAGCAGATGTTCTGATCCTGGAAGGGATTAAGTCTGCATGACAGTGGGGCGTGAGCCTTGTTTGGGTTAGTGCGGTCCCTAGGCCAAGGGACAGTCCTTCTTACTCTCCCACAGAGTTTTACAAGCTGGCGTGTGATCCGTGTGCTTGTTTTGCACAGGGGCTCCACCGCGCAGATCAGCGGACAACAGTTGCATTTTTTCAGCCGGCAGCGGCCATGACGTCGCCTCCAAAAGATGAGTCTCTTCCTCGCGCAGATTCGGACGATTCGGACGCGAGCACATCGGCCTCCACACCAACCGGAACTGAAAACACGCAGAGGGCGCGTCCCAGTGCGAAGCTAGTGGCGTTGGCCGCAGCGGCTGTGTGCGTGTGCCGTACATGCTGGCCATGCATTATGACTTCTGGACTCCTGTACATGGGGTGGAAGAAGTTGAAGTCGCTTCGAAACCCATCCCCTTCCGTGCCTGCAACGAACCAGACAGTTGCACCAGGTGCTCCTCACCAGCCCCGCTCAGCTGCACCAGGTGCTCCTCACCAGCCCCGCTCGGATGCGGAGGTTGAAAAATGCGTTGAGAAGTGGAAGGAATTGGTGCATCCTCGTGCTCGTGAATTTTTGGGTGATGGGTTCGATGATGTCTTGACGGATGTTGCGAAGTTCACAGACACGGGCAAAGATCCGGTCCTTGGAGGCGGATGCTGCCAGTGGCATGGCCGTCGAACCAAGGGTGGGAATGCAGCACTGGGCGTGTGCAAGCCTGGTGATGCGCGTGAGAGCATCACCTATCTGAACCGGCTGTTGGCCTTTGGGTTCGCCACAGATGAGTCCTTCGAAAAACTCATGAAGCTGCCAAAAGAACCGTTCAAAATGACCTGCAACGACCAGTTGTGTGTATCTGTCTCTTGCATTGGCGTCGCCGTGGTGGAGGACAGTTTAAATTTGGATGATTCGGACACCTCTTCCGACATCGACACTGACTCCGAAAAGGAAGCTGAGCATAGTAATGATCATGCAAAGTCCAGCCAAGCAACTTCCGTCACGCGTTAAGTGCCAAAGCCTTTGAAGCGCGCAGTCTGGCCCAAATTTTCCTCGGACTAGCCTGCACAAAACGGCAGCGCCTGTCCTGTGGTTAAGGCATTTGGCCCGTGGACTGTTCCAGCAGACAGCAGCATGTCGTTTGCGACATCCATTGCCCAAACGGGTCAAGCTGTATGCTGCAGTCACTTGTGGCTCTGGGGGTCGATGTTTGCAGTATATATAGCTGGTATAGCTCCAATGAGATTGATGCTGAAGGTTCTAACTTCCAGCCAACATCACTCGAGTTCTTGCAATCATCGTGGATCATCCTTGTAAGCTTATGTGATTTCATCTGCCAGAACCACAGACATGTTGGGAACGCCGGGCATCTTTGAGCTGCAGTCCTGTGGCTAAAAGGTATGCACTGAAGGTTGGAGGTCTCATGGCGTCGTCTTCCAAAGGATCATTTTTTCAATCGTTCTGGTAGTTCACGGGCACTCTTTGGAGGGACAGTGCCCAGAGCATGAGGTGCGCTACATTGACCAGGAGCTCTTCTCAACGTGCCTGGACTGGGCTGAAGAGGCGCCGAGGATGTGCCCTGCGTCGCAGCCAGCTGGCACCGTGCACGGGACCTGGCTGACTGAATTATATAACCTGAGTCCGTTCAAGACGAAATCTGAAGCTCCACAACAAAACCCCAAAACGCTTAGCAGTGCAACAGCAGTGCATTCCAACATGAGCTAGAGGCCGCTCGTGCACTGAGTTTGAGAGTCTTAGTCAGATGGGGAGAGTCCCCTCTTTTCGCTCCCTGCCGAAGGCCTCGATGAGCCCGCGCCGCAGAATCTGCACGCAGAGTCGGAAGCAAGGACTCCCTTGGTGCTCGTCTGACACGAGGGCAGGCTCAATTGCGCATTCTCATGCAGAGAGTAGGTACTCGTAGGTAGATTCCGTCTGCAAGAAGCCAGGTGACAACATGGCCCCACTCGCCACTACAATAGTTCCTGACAGTGGCCTCCGGGACATCAGCATTGACGTCAGTGACTCTCGGCGTAACAGTCTTGCAACTGCGAGGTGCAAGCATTGACTGCTGGCCCAGAGGTCTTCAGTACTGGTAAGATACTATACTACGATACTATAGTATACTATACTATACCACATATTGTTTCTTCTCTGGTATATGGTAATTTTTGCTGTTCTTGGTCAATGTGGCTACACTCGATTCCGAGCCCTAGGAACACAAGTGCCGAAGCCCTGGGCACCAAGTGCCGATTCTTACAAGCGATGTCGACAGGTTCTCAAGCACATATCTACATATTCTGAATGCACTTACGGCTGTGTGTAGTGTTGAACGTATGCATGCATGCGTGTGTTTTTGTATGCATGTTTATATGTATCTACTTTCTAACACGTAGTGTATGTGTACATACAGATGTGTATACGAATATGTACATGCATATGTACATGTAGATGTTTATGTATTCGTGCCGATATATGTGTGTATATATGTATATAATATAGTTGACTTTAATTTAATTTTTAATAGATCATATATATATATATATAAACATGCATGACTTGTCCTTTCAGCACCATCGGTTTCCCTGCATTCCCTGAGGAAGCCACAGTTCGCTTCAACGAGCCCGTCAACTCGATGGCAATCAGGGAGGCCTTCGCGTTCGGGCCTGTGGGGCATAGGCTTCTTATTTCAAGATCTAGGAGCCACGGTTTAGGATGTTAGGGTTTAGGGTTTAGGGTTTTAGGGTTCAGGGTTTTAAGGTTTAGGGTAGTTTAGGGTTTAGGGTTTAGGGTTTAGGGGTGCACTTGCAGGAATGTGGAGTGTGTCTCATGTGATGCAGGCCACGCTGTACCAGCTGGACCCAAACAACGGCCCGGAACGTTACAACGAGGCCCTGCGCCAAGGGGTCCTCTTACTGTTGTTGTCTACCTTTGGTTACATAGACCGCCCAACGTAGTAGTGGTAGAAGTAGCAGTAGCAGTA